AACTTGTCCAAAAAGGAGAGAGGCTTCTTACTGTGTTCCTGGACAGACTACAGAATATTCCCATTATTTTGCTTTATTTTTCTTTTTAGAAAAATACATTTGATAATAAGTAGAAGATAGCACCACAATGTATTCAGAATGCAAAGAAATAAAAAAGAATATATCTAGCTTTATGTTGGCTATTTTCTAAATATTATCTAATAAATTGAGTTGTAAGTTTTTGAATAGAAAGAAAGAAATATGAAACTTAAATAGCTTCCTATTTGCACGTAGATAACTACCAAATATGTACCATACATATTATGGTACGTATAATGTGTATGTGTGTCTGTGTGTACGTGTGCACAGACAGTCCTCAATTTACAATGGTTTGATTTATAATTCTTCAGCTTTACAATGGGTTTATCAGGATGTAACCTCATCATAAATTCATCCGCATTTATAATGGTTTTACTTAAAATTTTTTGACTTCATAATGGGTTTATTGGGTATGGAATGCATTTTCAACTTATATGGGTTTATCCATATATAACACCATCATAAGTCTAAGAATATTTGTATATGCCATTTTTTATATATATGATTTATATGTATCATATAATTATATATACAGTATGTATAATCTATCTTTCCTCATTTCTACTCACAACCAATTTAAATTTGCTCTCAATGATTCTGAAATTTAAAAACATATGCATAAATTCCAGACTTATATCAGGTAATTGCAGGGAAATCACAGAGATTCCTATCACGATCCTGTTGTTTTGTGGATAAGGAACCTGAGGTTCTAAAAGAATATGAAAATTCATATGAGTAGGGTCAAAATCTGAAAAGAGTATATAAGTCTATAAAATCTATATATATCCATAAAAATATGGTGATTGCTTTTTGACATTTCCTGACTAAAGTTCTTTAATGTTCCTTTATGTTTACATCTCCTGGCTAATGTTCTCCCACACTTTGAAGTGAATCTTTTCTCATCTTCAACTGTCCGTGGACTGTTCAATTTGACTCCACTCCCGGGAGCGTTTTTATTGGCATCTTTGTTAATTGTTTGGTTTTTTAGTGTGGGCTGTTTTTGTAGAAGGGAATCCTGTTGGATCAATTTTGAGAGTTCAAATTGTTCCAGCCCCACAGACCTCATCACAGATACCTTGGACCCATTCGGTTCTCCAAGTCAGAAAACCTGTCCACTGTTAGTTGCCATTCTCAAACCTCGCTGTGTTTTCCAGTATCTGTTGACTCTTTTGTGATTTTCCTGCCTTCCCCCTTATAGAAATAAATAATACACAAGTCTTGTCACTGTTTGTGGTTTGTCCTATTAGTTTGTATTTTGGATTTTGTAGAGCTGTATTTTCATTTAATTTTGTTGTACATGTTTTTCATGACTTGCTGACTTCGCCAATTAGGTTCTCTGATCGTTTTGTGTGAGGACTTAGGAAAATCCAAAAACTGTTATGGCACTACTATCACCATCTTTCCAGAATTCTTGATCTTTTTTCTTTGAGACAGGGTCTGACTCTGTTACCTAGCCTGGAGTGCAGTGGCATGATCATGGCTCACTGACACCTCCAACTCCTGGGCTCAGCCTGCTGCAACTCTCCTGCCTCAGCCTCCTGAGTAGCTGGGGACTACAGGTGCAAGCCACCATGCCTGGCTTATGTTTTAATTTTCTATTGTTTTTTTGTGGTTTTTGTTTTGTTTTGTTTTTTGTTTTCTGACAGAGTCTTGCCCCATCACCCTAGTTGGAATGCAGTGGCACGATCTCAGCTCACTGCAAACTTCTGCCTCCCTGGTTCCAGCAATTCTCATGCCTCAGCCTGCTGAGTAGCTGGGATTACAAGCATGTGCCACCACGCCCAGTTCATTTTTCTACTTTTAGTAGAGTTGGAGTTTCATCATGTTGGCCAGGCTGGTCTCGAACTCCTGGTCTTAAATAATCCAGCTGCCTCAGCCTCCCAAGTACCTGGCCTAAAATTTTTATAGAAATGGCAGTTTTGCTGTGTTGCCCAGGTGGGTCATTCCTTTCATTTAAAAAGTTTTATTGATTTATAATTTACATGCCATTAAGTTTAGCCATATGACATTTAATGGTTCTAATATGCTTATGAAGTTGTGCATTGATCACTATAAACATTAGAATATTTTTATCACTCCATGAAGAAATCCAGTATCAGTTAGCAGCCATTCCCCTCTCCTCATTCCCTCATACCTAAGTAACGACTCACCTCCTCTCTGTCTCTATACATTTGTCTATTCTGTACATTTCATATAAATGGTAGCATACAATATGTGTGGATTTTTTGTGATTAGAATGTGACAGAAATAAACATTCACTGATTTTTAAAGTTATTTATTTCAAATGCATAACATCAACAACTTCATGATCAATTGTGTGGTGACCTGGTAGTTTACGATTTGAAGTTGGTTTCCTAACACAGGACAATAAAGCACCATTTTAGAATATGGCATGTTAGTAGTAATGATGATCACTGTAATAATAAAATGTAACATTAATTTTGCTATGTACCAAGACTATTCAAAGAACTTCACATATATTAACATATTTAATATTTATGTAAACCATTGATAAAAATACTATTTTCATCTTCTCAATTTTATTGGTGAGGAAATTGACGCAAAACAAAATGAAGAAACTTACCTGAGCCAGATGACACAGCCAAATGCCATGCCCACATAGTTTGACTCGAGGCTCCTCGTTCTTAAACCCTATGATAAAGTGCCTTTCTGACTTTGAAGTGTTTGGCTAAATACCATTCTCATCTTCTAAAGTGGCAACTACAGAAAGCAACTTAGTGTAACTGACACTCTAAGCTCCTTCTGATCATCCACATTACACAGCCCTGATATTTCACTGGCATAAAGCTAAAAACTAAGATGATTAAAAAGAATGTCATTGAGTTCCATTCACAGTCTTTCAAACTTTCTCATAATTTTTTCATGTTTTCTATTTTTACTGAAAAACAATTTGAAAATCCTTGTTAATTGTAGCTGGCTGGGCTGTTAAAAACCAGTGGCTACTTTTTCTGAAAATGTATTAAATGTGCAATAGACCATATTCAACTATAACTGACAACATGATGCCTCCTTACTTGATGACAAAGAAAGAACTATAGGCCTAAAAGCAATTGGTCACTAAATATACAATATTAAAGTATAACTTAGCCAAGTATTAGCTTCAATTGAACAAAATTAATTGTAATCATGTAAATTCTCACAGAACTCTATAACAAAAAGGGGAAGAAAGAGTGCAAACTTCTACATGAAACTGGCAAAGCCAGAATAATAACTCTCAGTTTCCTTCTGTCCTGAATCAACCCATCTAGGAATCATTCTGCTTCCCTTGAGAGGAAAGGAATTTCTCTTATTGAATAAAGCTTCTTCCTTTCTAAAATCTCAGAGAAAATTTTGAAGAATTTTTCCTTTTCGAGTGGCCAAAATCATTTCTAGATTGAGTTACTAACCATAATAGAATTTCAACATATTACTTGGAAAGTTACTAGGAGAGAGTTCAAGAAGCATATTCTCATGTCTAAGATTCCCTTTACACGAATATATGTGCAAAACCTCAACTTCTTTCATCAAGACACCCTCTCCCCAGCATCTTCAAGCCCAAATCCTGTCACTTGCATGACACAGATACCTGGAGCTATATGCTCCTTAAATGGTCTGAAACACATAATTTCTGATTTTATGTAACATAAGATAACTGAGTAACAACCACCTTTTCTAGAAACATAGGTTGGAGGAGAGGGATATAAAAGTTAAAAGAATGTATTTCTAAGCAGAATCTTTTGAAACAGAACTGCTCATAAAAAGAGCAGATGCTGTAACACTACGAAAAAACCAAAGTCACATTTTTTGAACTGCCTCAGTGAAATGATATTTTAATATGAGAGCAACAATAAAATTAAATAGCATTCAGGTTTAGCTCTTTTAGTCGCAGAGGCTTGCTGCCAAGTGAATCAGTATAGAAAACCACAGAAGGCATATATTTCCTTGGCAGTATATCTCACACAGGATTATTTTGGAAACCAAATGGAATAATTCCTCTGGAAGAACTTTGAAAACTGTGAAATTGTACAAATGTATTTATAATTATTTTTGACATTTTCTGGGTAGTTTTGTAAAGAGAATCTAAGTGTAGTTATACTTTTCATTTAGAAACATGATAAATGGAAGTACTTTTTTTCAAGTTACTGTTCACAGGCTGGAGTAGCATCTTTAAATCTCCCAAGTACAGCTCTCAGCTCAATTTCTGCTTGAATTTTGCCTGATTGAATTTATTTCTTATAGAAGCACTAACTACCAGATTTCTAACCCGTTTTTACTGGTTCATTTATAATTAGTTTAAATTAGGTAAATACATGTAAATATTAGGCTCACATTTAAAATTGTGTTAAAAACAAATGCAGAAGGGAAAAATTATTCTTGTTAGAAAGTGGATAGTATGGAAGGAAGTGGGGAGTCACTTGTGCAATTGAATGATGAAGAAGATATTGCTATGGTCTGACTGTTTATTCTCCTCCCTTCATTCATATGTGGAAATCCTAAACCCAAAGGTGACAGTGTCTAGAGATGGGGTCTTCAGGAAGATGACTATGTCATGGGGGCAGAGTCCTCATGAATGGGATTAGTGCCTTTATAACATAGGCCCAAGGGAGCTCATTTTATAAGGGCTCCACTTGGACTCCACCAAGTGAAGACACAGCAAGAAGGTGCCATCTATTAACCAAGAAATGAGGCTTCACCACATACCAAATCTGCCTGTCTTGATCTTGGCCTTCCCAGCCTCTAGAACCACAAGGAAAAAAATTCTGTTGTTTATATGCTACCCAGCTTATGGCATTTTGTAATAGCAGCCCAAACAGACTAAGACAGGTATTATCTCTTAACACAGAGTTTTAAGTTCACAATTATAAAATTATACCTTTCAATTGATTTTTGTATGTGTACAAAATACAAAACAGTAAAGCATTTTAAACATGTGCAACAAAGATAAAATGGTTAAGATTATAAATGTGCTTCAAAATGGAAGTGCTTTCTGGAAACTTACCAGTTGTACAGTTTTTAAATTCAATATCATCAATTGCAGCTCCTCCTCCCAGATCTCTTGTTCTGATACCTTGAAATATGACTTCAAAATTCCTTAACTTTCCTAGCAGGATGTTGGCCTTTTGCCAGTGATTACCAGGGTTCTGCTTACTTTCTTGCCATACTTTTGATAGTCCTTTCTCTGTCTGAAAGTAAAGAAGTTAGTATGAGGGAAATAATCAAACATGAAAGAAGATGACACAGTATGGGGCAAAATCCAGTTATTTAGCTCAGAAGCATCTGACCAATAAAAACTGAAACAACAAAGAAGCACTGAATCTGTGAAAGCTGATCTTACAAATTGAGTCATTCTTGTCAAACCCAAGTCAAACAGAGTCAAGAGGTCAGGGGTCGTGGAAAGCACTCAGGGCATGTAACACTGCTCCAAAAATAAAATTCTCTGCAAACCCGGCTCCTGAAACTGACAGTTGTAACCTGAAATTAGTTGTATCTGACAGATACTGAAAGAATCTGCTGAGACTCTAAAACTAGTTTTACCCATCATGCACCAGTTAGAGCTTGCCAGCTCTGCATAACTTTACCAGTGCCAATGAACTTTCTTTCACAACAATATGGAACATTTCTCTCTCTTTTTTTTTTCCTAAAAAACTTTTATTTTAGGTTCAGGGGTACGTGTGCATGTTTGTTATACCGGCAAACTCGTGTCATGGAGGTTGGACGTACAGATTATTTTGTTGATCAAGTACTAAGCATAGTACCAAATAGTTATTTTTACATTACTCCTTTACAAAACCTCCAATCTTCTCTTTGTTCTTCAGATATACTGAAGACCACCTTGTCTGTGTATATGCCCCAAATTGCAATTCTTGCTTCCCTCAAAAAAATTTTTTAGATATTTTAATCTATATTTTATTTGACTTCAACATATCGCTGATAATAACTAAGACATAGTTTATCTCATCCAAACAGAGGCATATTAATCTACTAAAGTACTTCCCAAAAGAAAAACTAGCAGAATTAGCAATACATTTATTTTGGAACTTTTAGAGACACCATTATTATAAATTGCTCTACTCGGATCATGAGGTCAAGAAATTGAGACCATCCTGGCCAACATGGTGAAACCCCATCTCTACTAAAAATACAACATTAGCAGTGTGTGGTGGTGTGCGCCAGTAGTCCCAGCTACTTAGGAGGTTGAAGCAGGAGAATCGCTTGAACCTGGGAGGCAGAGGTTGCAGTGAGCTGAGATCGCACCACTGCACTCCAGTCTGGCAACACAGTGAGACTCAAAAAATAAATAAAATAAAATAAAATAAAATAAAATAAATTGCCCTACTCAGTAAAATCTACCTTTCCTTGCATTTACATGAAATTATGGATATTTGATAAAATCTGAACAGTTTACTGAGGCCCTGGGTTTACAGTTTCAGATGTCACTAGCTATCCAAACTTCTATTCATATTGTTTAATTATTCAAGTTGTACCTTCTTCAGAAAGCTTAAATCACTGACACAGGAAAAGAGAAAAGGAGAAATATGTTGGAGAAATCACTTATCCCTGATGGATGTAATAAAGGATTTATGAAGTGAATTGAGAGTGGAGGAAAAGTGATAATTTTAACAGCAATAAGATTTCAAAAATTATATTACATATTATTTTGATTTTCATAAATTCTGTTATAATGTAATTATTATATAAGTAACAACTATAATTGTTTTCACATAAATTTTTTTAATTGAAAAGAACAAATTTATTTTCTAAAAATCTTACATAAACATCAATATCTGAGGTTGGTTAACTAGTAATACAATATTCTAATATGTGAACTGAGCCAGTATAATGTAACATGACATAAAATGACATATAAGCCCAATGACCAAACAAAAATGACAACTTCACTAAAACAGCATATTAACCAGTTGAGCACAGGGCAAGGCTTAGATTGTATACACTGTTCTTTGGTATTCTAGGTCTAGCCCTTTCTGGGAACTAGATGATTTAACAAATCATAATGATGGATATTTGGCAAAGAAAAAAATATACATATATACACAGTATTCCGTTTATGGTTAGTTCCCAATTAATATTCCTTGGTCCCGGGTCACAGCATTTTCATGATGATTCACAAGAAAAACTTTGTCTCTGAAGCTTGTAATCAAAACAGTAGACTAGAGGAGAAGATTTAGGGAAATGGCATACAGAAGTGAAGCAAAATGTTCCAATAGATTTATAGCATACAGGTATGAAATGTGTAATTTACAGATAATCTAAAAAATAAAAGCTAAAGAGGAAAAAACGAAAAGGAATGTCTGAAGAGGGTATACCAAGGAGCTAGACATTCATAACTTCATGTTTTCAGGGAACTAATGCTAATAAATATGTCTGATGCCTTGTTCTGCTGAGGTAGACGAAGATGTTTGATCAAGTGGTTCTTCCTTTTCATGGTTACAGAAAGCACAACTATGCATCAGTTAATCTAAAATTAACTTTGCAAAACAACTAACAGTTTATAGATAGATCATTAACATCCTTAACAAAATAACTACAAATCTGACACCTACAGATTCATGTAACTTCTGTACTGAAAAGGGTGGAAAATTCACACCAAATTAATGGAATTTCATATCTTTTTGATGACTAAAGAAGATAAATCCTTCTCAAGGTTAGTCTTTGACTCTCAGTGATGTCTTAGTGATTTGAAATCAAAGGGATGGTTAGTTAAATTAAAAATTAAAGGAAAGGGTGGTCTGTCTGACTTCTAGCAATATTAGAGGTTGGATATTGATAAAAGCCTGTCTTGATTTACAGACTTAATTCACTTTACTAACTTTTCCTTTTTATCTGCCTATGCAGTTTATAAAGCCACTCATTAGCTATGCCAAATCCCCAAAGAATTTTCAACAAATACCATCAAAGAAGAGCATATGATCACACTAATCAAAAAAGGTGAATCATTCCTTAAATCTTACAACTGGTCTTCTAGTAAAAACAAAGAGACAAATAATGTATTCACTGTCATTTTATGTGTTAGAAAAAAAATGAGGGTAAATTATTTTGCAAACCAACCATGGATCAACCTAATGATGATGTATTACAAGACAACATTCTAATACATTAGCTGTTGTTTCATAACATCAAATGTTATCCCTACAATTAACAAAAATATTCATCCTAATGTGCAATGGAGATTTATTTCCTTATCCATTCATTCATTCATTCATTCATTCATTCATTCATTCATTCCTTTATTCAGCAAACTTTCTATGCTCACACAGTGCCAGGTACTAAGTTAGATGCCAGGCACAAAAACGTGAAAAGACAGGGAGCCTATCTTGGAGATGTAATAATTTAACACAGGAAAAAGAGTCATTAAAAAAAAAACTACTATAAAAGCGCTCGCGCTTGCACGTGCTCTCTCTCTCTCTCTCTCTCAATCTGTGTCTGTATTACTAACAGACAAACTTTTTAAAAAGTGATTATGTAGTCAGTTCCCAAATTTTATTCCACGTATGTCGTTACTTCACCTATTTACTTAATATCCTGATTTAAATTCGTTTTAAATTGTGAAAGTAAAAAATCTCTCACTCCCAACTCGTAACTTTCCCTCTGCCAAAGGACTTCTCTCTTGCATTTATATAGATTTTAATCTCAATACCCAGAGGAAATAAGCCTATGAAAAGTGATTAACCACATTAATAATAAAAAATAGACATTAATACAAAAATGGTTAGAGATATTGAAGAATTACTTTCTTCTTCTAATTTAACCTTTTTCGAAATTTTGAATTGATTCCTCACATGTATGCAAATGGACATTTATCTCAGATATTGCATATTTATTTTATAGTGTGTTTGTCTTCATACTTTACACCAGTCTTTCTTTCTTGGGCTGTGCAAAGTAAGGCAATAAGAAACACTAAAAAGATCGAACCACTTCAAATTTTACAAACATATTAATAGACAGATCTACGTGGAAGTTCCATTTCATATGTTTGAAGGGAATATACAAATTTTTCCCAAATAACTAGCCATTTTTTCTAAACCATTTAAATAATACCGCTTTTTTTTTTTCCAACTGACATCTTTATCATACTTTGAATCTGTTTCTAGAGTTTTCACTATTTAATAAAGGTAAATAAATACAAGAATTTTTTTCCTGCATTTCCAACTGAGGTACCGGGTTGATCTCACTGGGGCTTGTTGGACAGTGAGTGCAGCCCACAGAGTGTGAACCAAAGCAGGGCGGGGCATCGCCTCACCCAGGAAGTGCAAGGGTTTGGGGAATTCCCTTTTCTAGCCAAATTGGGACACTCCCACCCTAATCCACGCATTTCCAACAGTCTCAGCAAACGGCACACCAGGAGATTATATCCCGTGCCTGGCTCGGAGGATCCTACGCCCATGGAGCCTCGCTCACTGCTACCACAGCAGTCTGAGATCAACTATAAGGCAGCAGCGAGGCTGGGGGAGGGGCGCCTGCCACTGCTGAAGCTTGAGTAGGTAAACAAAATGGCTGGGAAGCTGGAACTGGGTGGAGCCCACTGCAGCTCAAGGAGGCCTGCCTGCTTCTGTAGACTCCACCTCTTGGGGCAGGGCATAGCTGAACAAAAGGCAGGAGAAACTTCTGCAGACTTAAACGTCCCTGTCTGACAGCTTTGAAGAGAGTAGTGATTCTCCCAGCATAGAATTTGAGATCTGAGAACAGACAGATTGCCTCCTCAAGTGGGTCCCTGACCCCCGAGTAGCCTAACAGAGAGACACCTCCCAGTAGGGGCTGACTGACACCTCATACAGCTGGGTGCCCTTCTGAGATGAAGCTTCCAGAGGAAGGATCAGGCAGCAATATTTGCTGTTCTGCAGCCTCTGCTGGTGATAACCACGCAAACAGGGTCTGGAGTGGACTTACAGGAAACTCCAACAGATCTGCAGCTGAAGGTGCTGACTGTTAGAAGGAAAACTAACAAACAGAAAGGACATCCACACCAAAACCACATCTGTACATCACCATCATCAAAGATCAAAGGTAGATAAAAGCACAAAGATGGGGAGAAACCAGAGCAGAAAAGCTGAAAATTCTAAAAATCAGAACACCTCTTCTCCTCCAAAGGAATGCAGCTCCTTGCCAGCAATGGAACAAAGCTAGATGGAGAATGACTTTGACAAGTTGACAGAAGTAGGCTTCA